CCGGGGAGACATCCTCCAGCACAGCAGTCCCCAGCCTATCGGACCTCGCGGGGCCCGCGGACCACCGGTTGGCGACGGCTGCTCTAGCAGCTTCCCAGACTTGCTGTGTCTCCATTCTGACGTTAGCCTTGATAACTGTGAGCATCGAATTCCTTTTTGGAATTGGTTCCACGTGATGTTTTGTTGGGAGTCTCCTGCCGTTCTTGACCCTTGGTGCATCTCCAGTTTCTTCCGTGTGGCAACTGTGGGGTCTTCCTTTGTCCTGGCGACCTGAAACACGGCCTCTGAGGGTCATGCGGCCCTCGGTGCTTGTCCCCGTCCGGACACACGTGGCTCTGGGAGGGAGTTACTGACCTCGCTAAGCGGAGGTGCGCCTCCTCGTTTCTGTGCGGGGGTTTGAAATGCTCTGAGTTGTTCTCTGCACTCGCCCATGTTAAGGCGTTTTCCTGGCTGTATTTCCTTAGTTCTTTCCCAGAAATGTATGGGCACTCAGTTGTTACTCTGGTGCTTGGTGGCAAAGTTACTTTTTTGTTGCAGAATTTGAGCTCTTCACTTGGGCAAGACCTATGTTGGGAGAAAGTTGGAGGGGTCTTTTCAGGGCATATTGCGTAGTGGTAGTTTTCTGCAAAATTAAAAAAATGTCTAACATAACCTTTCCCTAAAAGACTCACTGTGTCTGTCCTATATGTAAACCACAGTGAAGTGCCTTAAAATTTTCTTAACAAACACAGCAACATGCGGGATATTATAAAAACAACGGAACACGTTTAGAAATGATCACTCAGCAGCTAGGTGAGCCAGCACTGCTTGGTGTGGCAATGTGTCCCTCACGGGCTGGCGCACCTGCTCGTGGAGCTGGGCTCGTCCTGCTGGGAGAGGTGCAGACACCAGCTCTCATGTCTCGGGAAGATGTGATCCTGCGGGCAGTGTCCTACAGGTGGGTCCCCTGTGACCCCCAGAACCCCCCGAAGACGGTCGGTGGGAGCCCACTGGGAGACAGGCTTTCCAGGAACTTTCTGAAGCTACGCGGCCTCTGTCCTCGGCCTGGAGAGGGCACAGACCTGCGTGCACAGCATGGCCCAGACACCCACTTCTGTGGGACCCTTCACCTCTGTCCGCGCCCCTTGGACAGGTGCTCACCTTCTGCCCAAATAAAGTGGAGCTGTTTTCATCTTCATGGGGATGAATTTTGAGCAGAAGAGCGATGGTGCTTTCTGGCCTGGCTTCCAGCTTGTGACAGGTGTGAGGCGTCCATTCTTCCTTGGCCAGCAATTCGAGAAAAGTATTCTGGCACCGTGAAGGTTAAGGCAGCTTCCTTTTGGAGAGTTTGGAGCCTGGACGCACTGAGGATTAAACACCCAGACACCGTTCAGCTAAAGACCAGATGGAACGAACCCTCCATGCCAGTGACTGGCCCATGGAGAGGGTGCGTGCCTGGGCGCCGATGCTGTTCCCCGGCCTGCTCCTTGGTGTCCACGGGAAACGCTGAGATGCACAGAAAGTGCTCACTTGTCAGGAGGCGCAGAGCTGGACGGAGCAGCCTGGGGGCGGCCAGGCACGAGCTGCTCAACGCTGTACAGCGACCGGGGCTGCCATGGGCCTCAGCTCTCAATCACAGGAAATCCCCACGTATTTGGAAATTAAACAAATCAAAGATGACATCAGAAGGGAAATTTGAAAATATTTTCATTTGAATGAAAGTGAAAACAAACAAAACATAACGTGTGGGACAGCAGTACTTAGAGGGAAATTTCTAGAATGAAGCGCTCGCTACAGAAAACGAAAGGTCTCACCCCCTAAGCTTCTGCCTCTAGAAACCGGAAGAAGAGCACCTGCGCTCCACAGGCAGCGCCAGGAAGCAGTGAGCAGCTCCCTGAGGTGCGAGCAGGCAGGAGGGGAGCCCTGAGAAGGGCCCGGGAGCACGCTCACGACGGAGCGGACGCAGGCGTGGAAATTAAGGTGAACGAGGGGGTCCTTTAGTCTAAAAGGACACAGGAGTCAGCTGCATGGAGTGAGCCCCCAGATCGTGAGCATCTCGCTGCCAGCTGCCCAGCCGCCGAGGAAGCCTCTCCACGCTGACCCGCAGGGGCCAGGCAAGGCCTCGCTCTGCGATGGGGCCGTACCCTCTGGCCTGGACCGGAGCTCACCCTTCTTTTGCTTGATAACTTCAAAAGCATGTTTTTAAAAAGTTAGTATTTGCCCTTTATTGACTTGGCGGTTCCCTTCCCCCCAACTCTTACTTTTGAATCATGTGACGCTGTAGAAAGTTGAAGCAGCAGGTCCCAGGAGCGAGTGACCGCCACATCGCCCGCTCCTCTCTGTGCTGCCCGGTGAAGCATTTCATCGATGCAGGTGTCACTCCTGATTCTTTACGCTCAGCCGGCGTCTCCAGAACAAGGCTGTCCTTGCTCATCGCCACAGTCGTGCCTCTGCCCAGAACTTTCACACTGACCCAGCCGTGGCTGGTCCACGTTCACAGTTGCAGCCATTCCGTTTCCCCCAGATGTCTTCACACCCCTTTTCAGAGGGGACTGAGTCAGGTTCCTGTGAGTCCTGGCTGAGAGGCTGAGGGGGTTTGAAGCAGCCGACCCCCACCGACCAGCCCCGAAACTGGAGGGCAGGACCTGCTCCGGCCGGGGGTTGGCTCCCTGGTCCTTCTCCCAAAGACCAGGCCAGGGACTCTGCTTCCTCTCTGGAGCCACAAGGCAATCTAGCATTTGGGTGAGCAAACAAGGATCCATTTGCTTACTCCTGCTGCCTCTTCATGTGGGCAGACCTGAGGGGTTCGTATTCGGAGGCTGGGATCATTGCAACAATCCCCTAAAGCAGTGGTTCCCAACCTTCCTAGTGCCGCGACCCTTTAATACAGTTCCTCATGTTGTGGTGACCCCCAATTTCATGGTTACAAATTGAACATAATGAAAGCATAGTGATGCATCACAAAAACAATATGTAATTATATGTGTGTTTTCCGATGGTCTTAGGTGACCCCTGTGAAAGGGTCGTTCGACCCCCAAAGGGGTCTCGACCCACAGGTGGAGAACTGCTGCCCTAAAGTGAGCAGCTCTCACCTGGGCCTCCAGGGACCCCCCTTGGTGCCTGGAGCCATTTTTGGCTGGTACAGCGGGGGGAGTGGGTGCTGCTGAATATCCTACAGGGACAGTCCAGGCTGAGTGTGAGTCCCTGCTTTTGACCGTGACCGTTCAGTGACGGGTGGTGTGCGCTGCAGAGACTCCCTCAGAGGGTTCAGGAACTGAGCCTCGTTCATTTCTGTGGCCTCCAACTTCTGCTTCCACGCCGTGGTTTTTTCTGTTTGTCTGTTTGCTTGGTTTTTAACTATCTTTAATGGCCCTTTGCCCTGTTCCTCCCCTCTTTTGACATAAAATTCATGCAACATAGCACTAACCATTCAGTGGCACAGCCACAGGGCTGTGCAGCCACCACCTCTACCTGGTTCCAGAACATTTCCGTCACCCAAAAGGCTCCCTGTACCCAGCGAGCTGTCCTTGATCTCACACGCGCACAGAGTCTCTGGCAGCCACTGCCCCCGTCGGTGGAGTCACTGTCTGGTCAGTTGACGCAGATGCAGTCATGCCTGCGCCGGCTTCTCCACGAGGCGTCCAGGTGGTGGTATCTGTGCTCGATTCCTCCTGTGGCTGCGTGATCGTCCCTCGTGGGGGCGCCGCGTGCTCATCTGCTCTGCACTGTGGATGTTGGGGCTGTGGCCTCTGGGGGCTTCTGTGAACACAGGTGCACCCGCATCCAGTGACGTGTTCAGTCCTATTGGGTGGATCCCAGGAGGGGGTGGCTGGGCCATGGGAATGAAAGTCTGCGTTAAAGTCTTGAGGAACCACCAACCTATTTTATTTCCACCCCCACTTTCTCTGCCAGGAAAAAAAAAGTATAACATAAGCAGCTTAATTCCAAAATAAAATTATTTTGCTAAATAAATAAACGCCTTAGAATTCACAGTTCAGCTGGGGGGATATTTCAGTGTCCTGATGCCTCCTGACTCCCAACCAGCCTGTGCACATGGGCTTGTAGGCTCACAAACAGGGATTAATCCAGTGGTCGTCAGTTTTCGGACCTCACAGACCACCGGTTGGCGACCGCTGATTCACCCACAGGTGGGGGAACCTGTGAGACATCCACGCGGTCGTTTCACACAGTTCCACGTGGAGAGATCACAGAAACATACTTAAAGTTTTGAAACTCAAGTTTATGGGAAAGAACAAGCAGATGCTTCAGCAGAAATCTAGAATTAACATACTTTTGTTCTGGCTGCCTTGTGCCTGCTGGTCCCCCAGACCTCGTCCTCTACCCCGTCCTCTGCCCTGGGCTCGGCGGCTCCCCGGCTCCCCGGCTCCCAGACCAGGCGGCCTTGCCGCACTGGGGCAGCACTTGGCCTGGGGCTTCTCTGAGACTCAGAGGATGTGGGGGGGGGGGGGTTTCTCTGAGGGGCTTTTGGAGCAGCCGTGGGGGTTTCTGTTGTGACTGTGATTGTTCTAGGAGCAGGACTCTGAACACCCTTTCCCTCCAGCAGTGTCCCGTTTACTCGGGGTATTTTCCCTGAGGCATTTCTAAGGATTAAAAAAGAGAAATTGACACCCACGCTGGTTCGGCTCAGTGGGTAGAGCATTGGCCCTTGGACTGAAGGGTCCTGGGTTCAGTTCTAGGCAAGGGCGGCGGCACGTACCTTGGTTGGGAGGGAACCAGTTGCTGTGACACGTGTTTCTCTCGCTGTCTTCGCCCCTCTCTCCCACTCTCTAAAAGTCAACGGGAAAATATTCTCGGGTGAGGACACAGCCACAAAGAGAGAGAAACAGATGGGATTCCTCCCTCCCTGCAGGGAAGAACTAAATAGTAACTAATAGAAAGGACTGAAGAAAGCGACCTGGGTGAGCGATGCGGGCAGGGAGGGCGGCTGCCATGCTCCTCACGCGGAAGCTGCTCCCACCCGAGGGCAGTGCCCATCCCACAGCCTTTCTCCTCTTTTGCAGACGGATTTACATGAACCGGAGACCAGGCCAGAAGCACGTCTGAGTTCAGGTGAGTTTGAGATCATTAATTCACGTAAGTTTTTAAAGTACAACATTGAAAGTTCTTGAGGTTTTTTGTTGTTTTTTTTAATAACCTGGTTTTGCCCATCTCTCTTTTTGAGCCCAAAGTTGGTTTTCAGGCAAGTTGATCCTGAGGAGGGTATTTTCTTCAAAGGCTTCGTCCAATGCTCAGGCGGCGGGGCGGGGGGGGATGGAAGCTCACGTTCTAGATAAAGAGGGAGATTTCACCAGCTTCTCTCGTTCTGATTTGAAAAGTACAAGAAGCTTTGTTTCAAAGGTAGTAAACTGAGGTAAGTGAGGCCCCTCCTCCTCCTGCGGAAGGTCCGCTGGCCCCACGGAGGTGAGGCCGTTTGTGGGCTGAGAGGTGTGTCCCCTTTATGTCCAGTTGGGGTTTCCTTCCCACGGCCTCAGCCCTGCAGGGGAGCTGCTGTGCCTGGTTGACAGTTGGTGTGAGATGTGGAGGGCAGTCTCCGTGGTGCGTTCTCTGACAGCAGACCACACAGGCAGCTCTGAGTTCTCTTTAAAATTTGCATCAGGAAGTTGAGAAACAGGGAAATCTGGTGAGAACCTCGGATATTGAGGGCGGACCGTGTACACACACCGGTGCGTCCAGCCAGGGCCCGTGAGACTGACGGTGAGCCTGGATCCCCAGTTACCAGGAAGAGCGAGTGACCGTTTCCTTTCCATTTCATTGACTGTTCTGATCTCTGGTGCTTCTGATCTGAAGCCGACAGTGGTCCTGTGTCATCAACACTTAATGCCAGTTTTTATCGCTTTTGACACATGGACATTAGCCTCCAAGGTCAGCCATTCATTTGTTCAGACAAACTTGGGGCTTCCTGGGATTGCATCCTCAAAAGCTGGCTACAGTGGCTGGGCGATGACATCACAGAAAAGTCTCACCACACGACACAGCCTGCTTGGGGGTACCTGTGCCCACACTTAAAACCAGTAGATTTATAGCACATTTAATATTTGCTTATAATGTAGCCGAGCAGTGACAAGAATTACTGTTTTTTTCCATGTACTGCAATGCTCACATGTAGGTAAACAGCATCATGTCATCACCCGGCTCCCGCACTCGCAGAGTCTGCCAGTTCTTGTCCAACCTCCTTCCTCTCAGTCCTGGAGCTTCTGGCAGCACCTCCCACCGTGAGGGCTGGTCCCCCGGTGGCACCAAGCGCACAGCAGCTCCTCCTTCTCGTCCTCAGAGCCGACCACACGCTTGTCTCTCAAAGTCTGCACGTCGGGATCTGAGTCGAGATCTGAGGTCTCATCGCACTTTAAATGATTGTGATGGAAAGTTGAAATCGATACAAAGTTAACAAGTCACATCAGGCGGTCCCTCACCAAACACAGCAGTTAGCCGCAGCACCAGTCTTGTGTCCCTTTTAATCTATTATTTTGATTTGAGAGAGAGGAAGGGAGATAGAGGCATTGATTCGTTGTGCCACTGACTGATGCATCCATGGGTTGATGTTGTATGAGCCTGGACCAGGGATCGAGCCCACAACCTTGGCGCATCGGGAGGCGCTCCAAGCAGCGGAGCCCCGGGCAGGCTGCCAGTCTTGTTCCTCAGGTGCCCTTGCCCGTTTCCCTCCTCTTGGTTGTTTTCAAGCGAATTTCAGACCCATCGTTTTATTAAACGTGGATCAGAACCTTTGAAGGCCAGGAGAGGCTGTGGGTCAGTCATGTGGGACGGAGGGTCCACACTGCACGTCACCCCACTCTCCGGCAGGTGCACCGGACAGACGGCATCTCTCTCTGTCCGCTGCCCTGTCGCTCACAGTAGCGCTAGAACCATGTAACGGAAGGGGCTGGGCTGCCTGTGCCCTTTGGGATGTGCACTCTTTGCATTCTGGAGATGAACTTGGATTTGGAAATGAAAGAAAAACAGAAAAGTTCATGAAATTGGATGAAATTCCTCCTGCAAACTCCTGTATCAAAATGTAGCTTTGTCTTGGAGGTGAGGTGTGTGGGGCAAGTCTGCGAACCCCTGCCCGTGTGGCCCTGGCTCTGCTTCAGGATTTCAGAGGTGACCGGCAGCCCTCCTGTTCACCCTGCGTGTGCGCTGCCCCGTGGAGGGCACGTCATCGTCTGGGCCCGCAGGCTGACTCACACTTGCCCGATGTCTCATTCAATTTCCCCTCAGCCTGGGCTGCAGAGCGCCTTTCCCATTTCCCGGTGAACGCCGAGTGAAACCCCGGGTGTGGTGACAGTCGCTTTCCCTGTGTGTGGAAGCACCAGAACTGGGCATTGATTTCTGACATGTTAACAGACGTGCAGCTAGAGTGTCCCTGGCAGCGAGTGAACTTTCCTGTGGGCCTGGGAGGCCACTGACACGTCCTTCTGAGACCTGAGGTCCTGATGAGAAGGGACTGGTGGCGGCACCAAGGGATGGGGAGCCACCGGAGCACATGGTGGCTTTTTACGTTAATCCTCACCCGAGGGTAGTTTTTCATCGGGACTTTTAGGGAGAGTGGAAGGAAAGGAGGGAGGGGGAGAGAAACATGGATGTGAGAGAAACACAATGATTGGGTGCCTCCTGGACGTGCCCTCACCAGGGTGGGGGATTGAACCTCCAACCCAGGTTGTGCTCTTGACCAGGAATCGAACCTGAGACCTTTTGGTGAGCAGGCCGATGCTGTAACCACTGAGCCACACCCGCCACATTATTCCACATGGGAATCTACTTATATAAAAACCATGGGTGGTGTTCATCACATACCGACGAACAGCCGTGACTGAGCGGAAGGAAGTCAGTCCTACAGGGGTTGTTTTGGCAACAGCTGCACCCTCCCCCAAGCTGTTTCCCGGAGCTGTTTCCTATAAGGGCGGAGTTTGAGGCAGGAACCTGCCCTGGGAGCGTGGAGGCAGATCTTTCTAAAGTGTGCCGCGCCAGCACGGGATGAACCTGAGTGGGGGCGGCTGAAAGGCTTAGAAAAGACAGACAAGAGAATGAAAGCCGGGTCTCGGTGGGACGCTGCTTCTCAAAAACAGCAACCATGCCCACAGCCATGCCTTTATTTTGTAGCAGATGCTACGAGGCAAAGTAAGGGCGTGACCAAGATGTTTACAACATTCTCCTGGGTTTCAGTCCTACTCAACTACATGCACCTGAACTCTATCAAGCCCACATCACTCAGGCACGTGGGGCCACGTGTTCAGACCATAGGTTCAAGCTCACAGCTACAGCTGTTGGCTGTAATTGTGCTGGGAGGGCCATGCCCTCCAAGCTGGACTTGCACGTGGCAATGAAAGGACTGTGCCCTCTCATCAGTCCAAGGCTTGAACCTGTCCAAACACTGTAGCGGCTCCCCACAATAAAGTTTTAATTCTGTTTCTTTGTTACTAATGTTGGGGCCCCACCCCATAACAAAGAAACAAAGGAAAATTTCCCCATCTAATTTCTGAATAGTATTACTCCTTTGGGAATGCCGTGTCATAAATTAAAATTGAAAGTGGGTGCAATCATCATGCTATTGAGAAATCTCAATAGTAAATGGGGTCTTTGTAATGGTACCAGATTTATTATCAAAAGATTATGACCTAACATTATCGAAGCTGAAGTATTAACAGGATCTGCAGAGGGAGAGGCTGTTCTGATTCCAAGAATTAATTTGTCCCCATCTGACACTGGCCTCCCATTTAAATTGATTCGACGACGGTTTCCCGTGATGCCAGCATTTGTGATGACTATTAATAAATCACAAGGACAAACTCTAGACAGAGTAGGCATGTTCCTACCTGAACCCGTTTTTGCACGTGATCAGTTATATGTTGCTTTCTCTCGAGTTTGAAGATCATGTGATGTTACAGTTAAAGTTCTAAGTACTTCATCACAAGGGAAATTAGTCAAGCACTCTGAAAGTGTTTTCACTCTTAATGTGGTGTACAGGGAGATATTAGAATAAGTTTAATCACTTTATTAGTCATTGCATCACTGTTGTTTTTATATCATGTTTTCGTGGTTTTCATATCATGTTTTGTCGTTTTTATATCATGCCTCTGTTGTTATATCCTTTTGTTACTGTTTATTTATTAATTTATATATTATTTTCATATACATTTTACTAATTTCCTTTCATCTCTCACATTTCTATTATAGAGAAAGGGCAAATAGCAATGTTAAAATATCTCTGCTAATTAATTCCCTTTTTTAAAAAAATATATTTTATTGATTTTTTACAGAGAGGAAGGGAGAGGGATAGAGAGTTAGAAACATCGATCAGCTGCCTCCTGCACACTCCCCACTGGGGATGTGCCAGCAACCAAGGTACATGCCCTTGACCGGAATCGAACCTGGGGACCCTTGAGTCCGCCAGCCGATGCTCTATCCACTGAGCCAAACCGGTGAGGGCAATTAGTTCCCTTTTAATGTGCACGAATTTTGTGCACCGGGCTACTAGTATTTGAATAAAGATCATGCTAATACTGACTTACAAAGATGTAACCTAGGGGCAGACTTCCACCTGCTTGCTTTCAGTCACTTCAATTTCTTCCAGAACAGAAGTTCTGAACCAAGGCCAGTGGCAGGTGTGGGTGGTGAGGGGCAGAGGGGCCTCTCGCGGGTCTGTCTTAGTGGATTAGAGGTCCGCGCGCTGAGTCAGCTGGGCCGGGGCTTAACGGTGACTGTGACCCAGGAGGGGAGAAGGCACCAGGCCTCGGGACCAGAGGCTTTGGGGGACTTGGGATAGTGAAGAGAAAAGCAAACCAGCAAATGTAAGTAAGACTTGTGAACGCACCTCAGGGGTTTTGTATAAGCTGACCAGCCAGCATTGGAGACCGAGAGGGAACTACAGCCACTAACTCAGTGGAGGTGGTCCTGATCTTTCACATCTTTTAAAACGACTGTGGTTCCGTGGCTGTCTCCAGGTAACCAGTGGCAGGCATTGCCCCGGCTCGGCCGTCTGCAGGGCTGGCTCGGTGCCTGCAGGAGCTCGCCTGGTGAAGGGAGCTGAACTGGCCCCTCACTGAGAGGAGGAGACCATGTGCGTCTTCTGGGTTCCTGGGCCGGATGAGCGGGTAACTTTTTTGAAGAGAAATAGACGTGTAAGAGAGAACGTGAAGGCACAGGCTGCCCCTGTTCCTGGGTCTTCCTCCGCAAACAACCACCAGTGACATGTCCTTGTGTCTGTGGAAAAAGGCTGCTCACATTAGCATAGGTGTGTCCTGTGGGTGGACAGAGAGGCCCCACCCTCACACACTATTCTGTGCTTGGTTCTTTCGTGTCGGTGTCTTCACAGAGGAGCGGGGACGGTGAGTGGTGGTGGGAACGGGCAAGGCTCTGCGGGATGCGGTGTGGGCAGCAGCGACGGCCCGGTGCCCTGTGATGGGCTGGTGTCCACCTCTCCACGCTCACCCTCTGGGGCCGGTTCAGTCCGTTAGCTCAGGGCCAGGGCTGTCAGTGCCCCCGGCAAGGTGGCCTGGGCGCTTCATTCGTGAAAGTCCATCTGCAAAAACTTCTTTTCCAGATTCGGTTTTAGGAAATACAGCTTTGACAGAAGAGAGAGTGTAATTTAAAATGTTTTAATGTCTGTAACTGAGACTCAGATGTGAGGGCTGATGATCACGGGCTGTCGTCCAAAGGCAGTGGCAGTCGTCGATGCTGTTCATGGTGAGAGGCGGGCCTGCTTGTCCTCCTGCTTGTGGCCGAAGGTCCAGGTCAGCAAGTGTCGGCAGCATTGCTCCTGAGGTTCGCCGAGGCGACGGCACTCACGGAGCTTCTCAATATAGAGACACTTGGGCTGTCATTTCTCTGCCTGACGGTACGCAGCGGTGATTATCATGCACATGGTCTTCTGTGACATGTACAAGAACCTCTAATTAAAGGAGACGTTTAAATGTAAGGTCTCAGGAGTTATCCCGCCCATTAGAAGTTGGGTCCTAAAAGAAAAAAAAAAAAAGAGTTGGGTCTTGCCTGGCTGGTGTGACTCAGTGGTTGAACGTCGACCTATGAACCAGGAGGTCATGGTTTGATTTCCTGCAGCTGCCCGGGTTGCAGGCTTGGTCTCCAGTGTGGGGCGTGCAGGAGGCAGCCGATCCATGATTCTCTCTCATCATTGATGTTTCTATCGCTCGCTCCCTCTCCCTTCCTCTCTGAAATCAGTAAAAACTTTTCTTTTTCTTTCTTTCTTTCTTTCTTTCTTTCTTTCTTTCTTTCTTTTTTTTTTTTTTAAAGAAGTTGGGTCTTTACTTGAAGACCTCGGCCTCTCAGATAGTACTTCCTTCTACCTAGATCCTAAGGAGCTTGTTGTGTTTAGTCCTCAGTTTAAAGGTTACCTTCGTGCTGTAGTGTCTGAGTTGGGGTCAGAAGTCGTTGGTGGACTGAAGCCAACCCTTTAGTCCGAGTGCCTCCAGGCTGACCTTGGAAGGACTGAGGAAGGGCTTCTTACCGACGGAGGAGGGGCGGTTGGGTTGAAAGAGCCGGCTCTGCAGAGCTGTCTGCACAGATGGACGGACGGACGTGGCCTGTCCCCGCATGGGAGTGCTGGGAGGCGCCCGGGCTGGCAGGGAGCACAGGCGTCCCTGAGAGGACATCACCGCCTTTCGTTTTAAAGCTCTTTCCTCTTCTCTCGGCACCGTTATTCTCTCAGACGTTAACGTTCACCAATTGCTGTCCTTGGACAAAGGGGAGAGGGAGCTGGTCAGTGTCAGCGGGCATGTGTCTGCAGCGTGGCCTCAGGGACAGGTGCTCCGCCTCGGCCAGGCCTCCTGCGACACCCTTCAGTGTCGCCTTTGAAGCAGCTCTTTTGATCGGAAGTATTTTTAAGACCCTGTGGGCTTGTGTCGCCTTCCCGGAGAGCTGCCCGGGCCTGCCCTTTGCAGTGCTCGCGACCCGCCTGCCCGGCCTCTGCTGCGGGCTGTGGGCGCCGCGCCTGGCTGGCCTGAGCTGTAGGCTGTGGGGTGGGTCCTCTGTCTGCTGGGATCCCAGGGCCATGTTGGTGGGAGAGCAGGTTCCGGCACCACACCCACACAGTCCTTCAGCGTGGCCGTGCGGGCGTGCCAACATCGGGGCAGTCAGGGGGTCAAGGTCATGGATGCGGCTCCCAGCGACGGGTGGTCAGGCACCACTGCCCCGCCTCCTGCCCTGGTTTCACGGGAGAGCCATCCTGACGCCTGTCTCAGCTTCTTGGGTCCTTCTGAGACCCAGGTCCTTCTTGCAAAGGCTGCGTGTGGAACAGCTTCTTCTTTGTTAACCCACCGCCATCTGTTGAGTAGTCACTTGTTAGACATCGTCACTGTACAAAGCCAGTGAATGATAGAAGCTGTCTTTTACTAACAGCCCCTGGTGGGCATTTTATAAGTTCTGATGAATGTTAGTCTCTGATTTATAATTGCTCTCAACATTTCAACTTCCTGTTCTCGCCTGCTTCATTACTTAGTCATTGTTCATTAACTTTTCTTTAAATAGAATTTTTTTAATCCTCACCTGAAGATAATGTTTTCATTGATTTTGAGAGAGAGAGAGAGAGAGACAGAGAGACAGAGACATCAATATGAGAGAGACACAAAGATCAGCTGCCTCATGCACGCGCCCTGACTGGGATGGATCCCGAAACCTTTGGGTGTCCCAGATGAGCTCCAGCCAAGCGAGCCAGCTGGCCCCGCTGTTGATGAACTTCCTGTGCTTGTGTTTCTGTTTCAGATCCGATTCCTTGAGGTGGCATCGCAGAGCACTACGGTCAGAAGATGAGCGAGCTCGACCAGCTACGGCAGGAGGCCGAGCAGCTGAAAAACCAAATCAGAGTACGTAGCCGCACACGTGTCCAGTTGACTTATCCCCAGTCTAGTGCATGTCTGGCCAGATGTGACCTGGTGTCAGAGGGATGAGTTACAGGGTGACCCCAGGGTTCAGGACTGAGGTTGAGTCTTAATTGGCACGGGATGCACTATGACGCCCATAATTTGGCCTCATCCATTATTTTGAGGTTTTGTTTCCCAGTGCATCATTATTTCATATGCAAAAATGTCTCCACAGGATTTATAAACATCTTTCTGCACATGTTTTTCTTAACCTTGGAATTAGCTTTGTGCCATTCTTTTATTTTTTTCTTCCAATATTCTTTTGGTCACTGTATGGCAGTGGTTCTCAACCTTGGCTACACATTAGAGTCACCTGGGAATCTTTATAAAATCCTGATTTCTGGGCCTCATCACTGCTGTATGGAGTGTGATGTTGGCCTCCCTCCCTTGTGACTGTTAAGTTGAGGGCAGGAAACTTCTTTAAAAATAAGCGTATTAACAACAGTAAAAGGTATGTCAGGTGCGCCTGGCTTGTTTTCAGTTTTGAAAAGAGGTGTTCCCTCCGGAAGGTCACTGGAGTGGACAGCTTTTTCTGTTGGAGCAGATGCCTCTCCCTGGAGGCAAAGCCGCATGTGCAGCCCAGGCTCCTGGAGCACGCAGGTCGCCCCGTGTGCAGGTCGCACGGCAGCCCAGGCGAGGTAACAGCGTGGCTCGGGGTCGCGCTGCTCCCCTCCGGTTCTGTGAGGCAGTGCTTCTAAAGAATGCTTTCTAGAGAAACATTTACTGCAAGTCAGTGTTCCTGTTCTCAGACCGGTGATGGGAAGAGTGAGAGAAAGGAGGTGGACTCGACCGAAAACACTTGTCCTCAGCGTCCACAGCTAGATGCTTGTCCACTGCTGAGGGGGCATCTCAGATGCTTCGGGTCACCTGTAGGCTCCAGCCCCCGCCAGAGCGTCACTTCTCCGCAGGTGTCGGAGCAGTTTCCTGAGGCCACTGGAACGGGCGCCTAACCCTGTCCTTCCAAATGGCCCCTCGTGCTCAGAAAGCCTGGCGGTGACGGGGACAGGCGCCACATGATTTCAGCTATCTCTCCGTGACCTCGCGAGCGGGCAGTGGGATTCCCTGAGATCTGCAGCCGAGGGGAACGGGCGTCCTGTGCAGGAGGTCAGGCCTTCGTCCAGAGCCTGCTGCAGCTCCGCAGGAGCAAGGACGCCCCTCTCCGCTCCAGGCGGACTCGTGGGACGGCCTGTCCGCCTCCAGGAGAACCCAGAGTCTGTTTTTCCAGCACCTGGGAATGGCTCACAAGTAGTGGGCTCAGACCTGTTCAGATGCAGCAAGTTTGTGCTGCGTGGGGGGAAGACATCGTCTTTGGAAGAACAAAGGCTGGAAGTCAGCGCTCCTCTCTTCCCGTGGGTCGGACCCCGTGGCATTGTGGGGCACAGGCGTCCTCCTCGGGCAGGGCTGTTGTGTGGGCCACGCGTGGAATTTACACGTATAAAGAGGAACCGGTGGCGTTCATTTTTAAGAAACTGTCTCAACCAACATACCTAAAACGTACGCTCACAGTCCGTTATTCTCCACCCGCTCTCTGCACGAAGCCTTGAGCGCTCAGTGTGTCTTGCACTGATGGGCACACCTCGAGCGCACGTGCCATGGCTCCTGGGGCTCCGGCTCCCGAGCTGGTGCTGTGCACGTCTCTGGGCTCAGCACAGGGACAACAAAGGTGGGGGCACTTCTTACCCCGCGGGTGGGAGGGAAAAAGCACACCTTCCCGCTGATCGGCCCAGAAACACAGCTTTCCGAAGGACAGGGCAGAGGAGCGGGAAATGGCCACTGAGGGCGAGGGCTGCGTGCTTCCTTAGGTTTGTTTTCAGGTGGGAGGCCCCAGAGGACCGTCTCGTCCTTTTCTGATTGTTCCGGAGGAAGCGTGCAGTCTCAAAGGGATGCACGTCTTACCGTGCCGGCTCAGTGATGCCGTGTGAGTGCGGACTTCCTAGGAGTGGCCGTGCCCGCTGTGCAGGCAGCAGCCCTCGCTGTGGGACAGGCCCGTGGTGCTGGCACAGGCCAAGAAGAGAGGACTGACTGGTCAACAGCTTGGACATACTCCTCTGATCTAAGGGCCAAAATAGGTGAATGTCACCTTCAGTGACATTTCTCATCACGAACAGAGCGAGGCCTTTGCACTAGGAGCGCACCCCCTGCATGTCTTCACCAGCCCAGGCAGTCGGGAGCGACACAAGGTCTCTGACTGTCAGCAGCTGCAGCGACCGCCCCTGACATGTTGTCATAATTTTCTTGGAAGTTATTCCTACACTCAAGCTTTGACCCTTTTTAAAGCTATCGTCTCATTTTCCTTCTTAATGTATGGTTTTTTGTTTGTAAAATTTATACACTAATTTGAGATTTCAAGATTTTATTTTCTAGTAACTTTGACCACTTAGGGACAATGAAGCATTTTAATGAGCTCAGTGTGTCCCTGTGTAGTGCTTCCTGCTTCACAGGTCATTTCCTAGATAGGAACACAGGTACCAGCACAGCCGGAAGCCGCACCAGGCCCTCGGCGGTTCCCATAGCCTCAGCACTGGTGACCGTTCCCAGTGGGCACAGCCCAGAGAGCAGGGCTTGGGCTGGACATGTAGTGCTTTCAGACAGTCCTCTGGGCCCACAGCTCCTGGGGGGTTTGTTAAAAGGCAGAGATAGGAGTGTGTGCGGGGCCATGAGCTGCGGGGCCTTGGCAGGAGGACGGGTGGCTCTGGTTCTGGGGTTCTCCAGTGCCACCGGCCTCCCTCCCCTTGGTCCTCCCAGGGTCGCCTGCATCACTGGGGTCACAGGTGTGCTGACCAGATGTGATGATCTGGGGCCTGGAAGGCACTGGGTTCCTGTGCCCCATGTTGAGTGTGGTCTGGGCACAGACTGGTTTGCCTGACAGTCCCACCTGGCCCTGCGCTGAGGCTCTGGACTGCGGTGCGAGGGCTGGGAGTGGCCGAGCCTGGACCTGGACTAATTTCCTCCTGCTGTTCTCCCTAGGATGCCAGGAAAGCTTGTGCAGATGCAACTCTCTCTCAGGTAAGAACCAGGTCACGCAGGCGCCTCCCTCCAGGACCTCAGGGCCGAGCTCTGCTCCAGTCCCGCCAGCGAGGGTGGGCCCAGTGCTGGGAGCGTTTCACTCACAAGTGTTCGTGCTCAGCGTAGGAAGTGGTGTTTTAGGATGAAAAATAAATCCCTTTTAAGCCTTAAATAGGTACTTACTATTGTAGAGGTCGGAGTTGTGAAATGTTCATCTTAAAGTTCCCTTAGGCGGGTCCTCAAAGTTTAACCTCAATTGTGACGCAGCAGCTCCTCTCCAGACACAGGAGCTGAAAGCTGGTGCGAGACCAGCGCACGCCCTGGCTCTCGCAGCACATCTCCCGGCGCGGGAGGTGGAAACCACCCGTGTCCGTGCCCGGAGGGTGGGCAGACAGTGCGGTAAGCGCACAGCGGAACAGGACCCAGCCGCAGGAAGGGGCGCAGCGTGGATGCCCGTGCAGCCGGAGGAGCCCAGGACCGGGTGCGGGGGGCTGACAGGCCAGGCCGCTGCAGGGCTCCACCGACGGAATATTCTGAATAGGCCGGTCCACGGGGACTGAAGGAGATCAGTGGTTGCCAGGGGCTGGAGGGGGCCCACCAGTGAGTGCTTAGTGGACGTGGGAAGTGGGAATGTTCTAGAACTAGGGAGAGGTGGTATCACACACGTTGTCAGCGTGCTAAGGACCACTGGATGGTATACTTAAAGTGGTGAATTTCACCTCATTAGAAAAATTAATATTTTTGCCCAAAGAATAAAATGTGGAAGAAAAGTCATATTTCTCCTGAGAATGATTAATATTTTATAGTGTTTTAATGCTTTAGGGGATGCACTTTAATTGGGGTTAAACAATAAGTTAAGGAGAAATTGTACTGCATCGAATTACCTGAGTCTGAATTCTGTACAGTCTTTAGGCCCATTAATGTGATACACTTGTTCCGTTTGCCCACCCACGTCATTAGCGTCGGGGCTTTCCTGTCGGAGGGAACCGCACGTTTGCATGTACAGTTCTGTCCACAGCAGCAGAATCCCGAGTGGGTGGTCGCTCTGGTCTGGGTCAGTGCACAGCCTGAGCGCTGGGCTGTGGGAGCACGGGAGGTGGGAGGGCCTGGCCTGGGCGCTCAGTTGGGGAGACGAGGAGAGAGAAGACGGAGGTGTCCGTGTGGCCAGCCCTGTGCATGGTGCCCGCTGTGGGGTTTGAGGTGGAGAAATGTGGGCCTCATCCTCATGAAAGGAAAGTAGGTGCCCTCCAGACAGGAGAAATCCCAGTGGAGCTGCTGGGGTGAAGGGGTTTGGGGGGCCAGTGGCGGGTGGCAGAGAGGAGACCTCACAGAATGGTAACCTGCAGGACGTTTGCTTTCAGATCACAAACAACATCGACCCCGTGGGAAGGATCCAGATGCGCACCAGGAGAACGCTGCGGGGGCACTTGGCCAAAATCTACGCCATGCACTGGGGCACAGACTCCAGGTGAGGGCATGAGCGGGGTCGGCCCTGCGGCACAGGGACTGGTCTGGTGGGCATTGGCCGTGATTTGTAAAGAAAAGGCGAGGGACTTGCGTCAGGTGTCTGAGCAGCCAGGGCTAGGTTCCCAGGTGCCCGCTCCCAGGTCACACGTCCACCTGCCCAGGCCCGTTTCTGCCCCGCCCTAGTCAGTCCCTGCCAGCTGTGACCTTCCCTTCCCCTCCTCTTCGTTTCTGCCAGATCCAGGCCCAGTGCCTGTGTGACCTTGGGGAAGTCGCCTAACCTCTCTGTGCCGTGGCTCATCTTTCCAGCCTGTTCCTCATGGTTTCTCAGCTGGCACGCTCAGGGTCAGTGCCCGGCACAGGGTGAAGTGTGCTGAGCCTCAGAACAGTGGGTGCCAAGTGCTATGTCCGGGTTTGCTGCTGGTTTCTCCCTGAGCCCACATCCCACAGCAAGAATGCAGTCTCAGCTGCTGCTCCCTCTCCCCCCATCTGCCCCACCAGCCAGGGAGCTCCCATCGGCACTCATTGTTTCTCCTTTAAATTCTGCCCTTAACTCAGACCCCTTGTCCCCTGGCAGCTGCTCTTCTCCATCGCCCTCCGGTCCTCCCCTCCCTGTTCCCTCCATCGCCCGCACCTGCAGCCTCGCCGACTGGTCTGTTGAGCCTCTTCTCTTAGAGCAGTGGTTCTCAACCTTGGCTGCACATTAGAATCACCTGGGAATCTTTTTAAAATCCTGATTTCTGAGCCATCCTCCGGTTTGGCTCAGTGGACAGAGCGTCGACTTGCGGACTGAAAGGTCCCAGGTTCGATTCCGATCAAGGGCATGTACCTTGGTTTCGGGCACATCCCCAGTAAGAGGTGTGTAGGAGGCAGCTGATTGATGTTTCTCTCTCATCAATGTTTCTAACTCTAGCCCTCTTCCTTCCTCTCTGTAAAAAATCAATAAAAATATATTAAAAAAAAAAGATTCCCAGGTGATTCTAATGTGCAGCCAAGGTTGAGAACCACTGTCTTAGAGGCTGCCTTTCCCACCCACACAACGACAAGCTGGTGGCTTGGTGACTGACACATGCTTTCAGGTGCCCAACAGAAATCTTCAGATGCCTGTCTTTGAGTGGCTTTTTTTTTTAAACGTTTGTTAGGAATTTTCAGTTTGGTTTTCTCTTTGTTCGTGAAATTGTCTGCTTTAGAGTGTAAATGACTTCAGAACAAAATCTTCTATCTTTCCTTTGTTCTGTGCAGCATCCCATACAGTTTCAAATGCAAATGAATGGTAATTTAGGCCATTTCAGTGATACTGCTAATCAGAAAGAATAAATGGAAAATGCCCTCACTAGTCAACCCACCTTAGAATTGTATTAAAGTAGCCGGTGACCAAACAGTACGGGTCTCTGGGCTCCCTCATCTGTGGAGCCTCGTCCTGTCCTGCCCAGACGGGCATTGGAGCCAGGCCACTCGCCCCTGAGCCGCCTCAGGCCCCTCCACAGTGTCGCCTGCAGCCGGCCCCCACCTGGGCCGTCCGGGGGGCTCTCGGGGGCACATCACTGCCTGAGGGTGGCTGGGAGCTACACAGGCTGCAGGCAGCTCTTCCTCCCTGGAGGGAAGGTGCTGTGTGGCCAGAGCAGTGGGCAGGAGGCAGGGCTCGGGGGAGGCAGGAGGCAGGTAGGGCCAGGTCATCGAGGCTCCGATCACCCCGTGTGAGGCCTTACACCGGCCTGGGGGTTCCGACTGGAGTTGTGCCGTGAAAGCTGGGGGTCGGGTCTGCGGAAGAGCAGCCGGGCTGGGACGAAGCACATCGAGCTCAGGGTTGTGGTCGCCCCTAAAGAAGGGGGACCCAGAGGGGTGGGGGTGTTGGATTGCTCTTGTTCTCTTTCTGGCAGGGCCTGGCTGCTCTTATTTTATTTTTTTAATATATTTTTATTGGTGTCAGAGAGGAAGGGAGAGAAAGAGAGAAACATCAATGATGAGAGAGAATCATTGACCGGCTGCCTCCTGCATGCCCCCCACTGGGAATGGAGCCCGCAACCCAGGCCTGTGCCCTGACCAAGAATCAAACCCTGACCTCCTGGTTCATAGGTTGATGCTCAACCTCTGAGCCACGCCGGCTGGGCTGTAGCTGCTTTTTAAACTGGACAGTTACAGCTCTTAATACCTTACGTATGTGGGGCCCTAGTTTATATTCATAAACCAAAGAACAAAAGGTGATGCTAGAATGACCTCTGCTGTGCAGAGCGTTTCAGAGAAAATCCAAAATAGTTGTTTTTTTTAATTTGGACGTACGTTTGCTTATATCCCCTTCGTGTTTTCTGCCTCTACAGACAGGTTATTGCGCAGGATGTGTTCCTGACTCGGCTGCAGTTTATGAACACGAGTCAGTCTGTCATGTTTGTGGCGCTGGAGGCTCACAGCGAGGGCTTTGCAGGCGTGTGTGAGTCGGTGGGCATCACATCTGCATTAGTGCCGGGCTTGTCAACATTATTAGTAAAATACGTTTATGCTTAAGTTCTATTTTTTATAACATTTCAGAGTCTCTCTCAGTCACCTGAATGTTACACTTTTCTCCGCTTTCTAAAAGCTGCTGAAGTCTTGTTAGAACTGAGAGTGAAGCCCACCAACCCTGCGAGGCCCAGGAGCCTCCGTCCTCTGAGTGTGAAGGGCTGAGGCCTGGGCTGTGGCCCCTTCGCCTCGGTCAGAGGCGGGCCCTTCCTTCCGGCTCCTCCTCCCTCTGCGTTGGCGTGGGTGGTGCCTCCCGGTGACTGGTGGCTGCTCAGTGCCAGGCTGCCCCGGGAGGCGAGTGGTCACCCCTGTCTGCAGCGGTTCCCCCGGGATTACGGGGTGTCTCCTCTCACCTTCTGGAGGATCAGCGGGCATTAGCGTTCCTCCGATCGGGCGAGTCAGCAGATACTAAGCTCTCTGAGCGGAGGCTTCCCTGAAGGTGACCCTCCAGGAGGGCGAGGGCTCTACGCGGGCCCCTCAAGGCCCGTCCACGGCTGAGCCTGCAGGGCAGGCAGCCGGGCGCAGAGCGGCCGCTGTTAACCCAGAAGTCTCTTCGTGCCCGAGGTGTGCGTGGCCCCCGAGATGCAGGGATTTGATTGAAGAAAGTGCTTCTGGAAGACGAGGGCACTGGTTCCGTTCTGAGGCGAGTTTGCAGCACGGAGCTGAGACTGGCTTTGTCCCTTGGTGACTTCTTGTACCTGTTGCCTCAGAACGTGTGTTTCGGTGAAAAGTGTCCAGATTTTCAGATTTCCAGGTTATGATCGGTTCAGGAAGCCAAACGTGCTCGTGACTGAAACGGTTAAAGCCTGTGTGTTTGGATAAAACCTTTAAAATTGAAACTCTTTCTATCATGACTTACCACACTGACCGTCTGGGTAGGGCTGTGCGTGGAGCCGTCACCGTCCCGGGAAAAGGGCGGCTCCTGAGCTGCCTTCTGAGTAGCCGTGGGCCCTGCTTCCTCTCCATTAGCCCCCTCGCCCCTTGGTGCTGTCCTGTCCTGTCCTCGTTCTGCAAAGGCAGACAGAGCACCCGCAACGCACAGGCCCCAGCCGATCACACATGCCCAGAGCAAGACAAGAGGAAAAGGCTCATGGCGGTTGGTAGTTGCTGCCGGGGGACCAGGCTCAGGGCCGCGGGAGTCTGTCTTCACTGTGCAAGGCGGGGGGGGTGTGAGGCCTCCTCAGTGCCCCCCGGCCTGGACCCCAGGGTCGGCTCCATCTGGGAGCGGCTCAGGAATCGGGGTCTCTCAAAGCTGGTTCCCTATGTCGAGGCCTTGCGTGCACAAGAACAGACAGGAAGTTGCACACTCCATGTTTCCTACCACCTGTGTTCGTGAAGACTATGAACAGAAACCAGACAGAAGCAGTGCTGAGTGGCCACTGTCTCAGCTGACCCAGCACGTGGCGGGGGTCTAGTCCCCCGAGAAGCCAGGCGCTTGTCCCCAGCTGCTGTCTGTGGGAACGAGCTCGTCACGCTTCCAGCGTTGGTCTGATCATTGGGGCTTTTTCTTCGGGCTTGTGAGTCCGTGTGGCTTGTCTCCAGCACAGGCCGCTCTGACGCACACGAGAGCCGTCACAGCCGCGTGTGGCTGTGGCTGTGGCCCTGACGTGCTTGCGTGTGTCTTCCCTGCAGGCTTCTCGTCAGTGCCTCGCAGGACGGCAAGCTCATCATCTGGGACAGCTACACCACCAACAAGGTAGGGACTGCACGCCCTCCCCAGGCCCAGGCCGCCGGATTCACTTAGCTAAGCTACAGCACGGGCGGGGGCGGGGGGGGGCACGGGAGTTTGGGTTGGTATGGAACTCCCGGTCCGCTAGGGGCCGAGCCTGTGGCTGGCACACGCTGCTCGTCCCCGCTGCCCAGCTCAGCTCTGCTCCCAGCAGGCGGGAGGGCGGCTCCTAATGCGCCCGGGAGGCGGGATTCCAGTTTTAGCTCAGTCTGGGAAATCTCATGTTTTATTTAAAAATGCAGAAGTCTAGCTTTTCATTTAGTTATTCGTTTGTTTTTTTAAAAAATATATTTTATTGATTTTTTACAGAGAGGAAGGGAGAGGGATAGAGAGTTAGAAACATTGATGAGAGAGAAACATCGACCAGCTGCCTCCTGCACACCCCCTAGTGGGGATGTGCCCGCAACCAAGGTACATGCCCTTGACCGGAATCGAACCTGGGACCCTTCAGTCCGCAGGCCGGCGCTCTATCCACTGAGCCAAACCGGTTAGGGCTAGTTATTCGTTTTTATGAGAGATCACCTGAGGGGCATTGTATCGAAGTATAAATTAAATTCGTCTAAAGAATGATTCAAGGGGGTGTCACCTGGAGTGAAGTAGTGCTGTCGCTGGTCCCACTCAGCTGTGTTTCAGGGGACGCCGGCTGCGCGTGAGCACACAGCCTGGTGCAGCTCGCGGGCCGGTTCCAGCACTTCAGGAAAAACCCTTGTTTTATACATGAATTGATAGCCATTTTGACCGGCCAGTGGCTTTTTTTTTTTAAGATTTAAGTGAAAGAGACTTAAGTGAATGATTGCTAGCCAGTAAGCCTTAAAATACAATAGTAAAGGAACATTCTTTCTTTTCGACGCGTGATTTCGATTAGGAGGCTGTCTTGTTACTGAGGGTCTCTCTAGTCATCAGTTGCGACTTTATTAAAACTATAGATTGAGTTGTTCTGTAGCACAGGGTTTCTAATTAAGTTACTGCTGTATCTGACTGGCCACACCTGCAAATTATTTTCAAAGCAATTTCAGTAGCTACTGTGTTTGAACGTGAGCATGTTTGCGTCTGTTCTGTCGTGTAGGTCCACGCCATCCCTCTGCGGTCCTCGTGGGTCATGACCTGTGCGTACGCGCCTTCTGGGAACTACGTGGCCTGCGGAGGCCTGGATAACATTTGCTCCATTTACAATCTGAAAACTCGCGAAGGGAATGTGCGTGTGAGTCGTGAACTGGCCGGACACACAGGTACGCGTTCTCTCCAGTGACCTCACAGCGGGTCAGCCTTCTCACCTCCGCTCAGTAACTACCTCGGGAGGGTGGTCGCAGTCATGGCAGGAATAGTCTGAAATGAGAGCAGGAGGCCTCGCTAGGCCTTTCCCGGGAAGAAGACTTTGGGTCTGAGTCCCTGTGGCGTCGGCTTTCAGGGTTCTCTGGTGCTTGCTGAGGCCACTGCCGCTCAGTCTGCATCTCCCGCTACACCGTCTTCCGTCCTGAGCGCCTTCCACCAGGGTTTGCAGTGTGAACGTACCTGTGTGTGTCGTGTGCACATGCTTGTGTGCGTGCACTGATCCGTGGGCATCGGGGCTCCTCGCGGCCCCACACCAGCGCCCTCGGTGCGGAGGCCACAGGCTGGGAGGTGGCTGGGGAGGTGTTGGAGCCGAGCAGTTCTCTGTCCGTTCGCCTGTGACTGGCTGCGACAGGGGAGTGTTCCTGGAGAAGGTCTCGTCCTAGGGTTTTACTTTGGCGGCGGCTTCTCAGTCCTGAAACGCCTTCCCACGAGGCTCACCTGCCTCGGGCCCAACACGGAGAAGGTGGTAACTCACGGGGCAGCTGGTTCTGTTCTGACTTCAGCCAGGTGGCCCGTTACGTTCCTTCCAGCCGGTAGCGAGCCTGCCCTGCGTCCTTCATACGCACGATGGCAGAGAATACAGTGTCCTCTTGGGGAAAGTGCACCGAGGCGCACTGCGAGGCCCGAGGGCATGAGAACCTCACGAGGGGGGTGCCTGCTTCTTCCTGTCAGCTCGGCAGTTCTTGCTCATCCACCCGGAGCTCTGTCCGCAGAGCGTGCGCTCTCAGGAGTCTCGTCTCTTCCTGCGGAGCTGACCTTCTTGTCCCGATGCGGGGCTCCTCCTCGCTTCACTGACGCCGCCCAGCCTTCCTGCTGGCGCTGGGCGGTTTACATGGAGGCTCCCCCCCATTTCCTTCCCCCTTGGCCGTGCTGTTGTCAATAGCGCCCCCTGTCGTTCTCACCGTCTCAGCCTTTCCCATGCTGGTGAGTCCTGTTTCCCGTGACATTAGTGCCGGGGGTGCGGCTCCGTCACTTACCTGCCTCCTGGCCTGCCCTTCTCTGCGGTGGCTGCATTTTTCTGTTGGCGTTTTGGTTGCCTCTTTCCATTACTTCTAGTGGTTTGTCTAGGGATTCAAAGCACATTTATAGTTTTCCATGGTCTCCTAGGGGTTACTATTGTACCAATTCATGTGAAATGCGAAACCCTGGCAACCGTACGGCCCATTCCTGCTCTTGGTGACGTTTCTGTTGGGGTCACACCTACATGTGTAATAGGCCCACGACACACCGTCACAATAAAGATGTATTTTAAAATCTATATATAGGTTTTAATTGATTTCAGAAAGGGAGAGAGATGGAGACATCAATGATGGGAGAGAAACATCATCGATCAGCTGCCTCCTGCTCGCCCCCCACCGAGGATCGAGCCCATACCCCAGGCATGTGCCCTGACTGGGAATCAACCGTGACTTCTTGGTTCATAAGTCGACATTCAACCACTGAGCCACGCCGGCCGGGCTAAAACCTATTTTTTAAAATGTGGGGTGTCTCAGCAGGTGTCACGTGTCCCAACCTCTGTTCCGCGGCTCAGCTTGCAGCTCAGGCCACACAACCATTTCCACCCCGACTTGTCTGCTACAGCTGCATTGTAGCAAACAGACCCGCTCCCTGCTCTGCCCTGACACCTGTGCGCCTCCCCCATGCTCTGTCCGTCCTCTCTCCCCACAATAAGAGGGCTCCAGGGGGGCAAGAAGTGACCTGTTAGTGGATATGTCCCGGGGCGGGGGCCGGGGGGGCACTCCAGGCACGGGGCTCTCCTGTGCACTGAGTGGATGAGCGAGCGAGTGAGGAGCAGGCGGGATCCATCCTCACTCCTGTCACGAGAAGAGGGGAGGAGAGCATGTGCCCCATGTGTGGCAGCTCCCGTGCCCTGTGGGCGCAGTGCCACAGCCTCCTTGGTCCTGGGGTCCTGGCCGCCCTAGCCCTGCCCGGGCCCTGCCCAGCAGTGCTGCACACGGGCGGAGGGCCGATAGGCAGGGTCTTCCCCGTTCTGCCCACGGGTTTCTGTTTACAAGACCCTAGACCAGTGATGGCGAACCTATGACACGCGTGTCAGAGGTGACACGCGAACTCATTTTTTTGGTTGATTTTTCTTTGTTAAATGGCATTTAAATATATAAAATAAATATCAAAAATATAAGTCTTTGTTTTACTATGGTTGCAAATATCAAAAAATTTCTATATGTGACACGGCACCAGAGTTAAGTTAGGGTTTTCAAAATGCTGGCACGCCGAGCTCAGAAGGTTCGCCATCACTGCCCTGGAGAGCGGCGCTGGCAGATTTGGGTCACTGTCTGGGTCTGTTTCCAGGTTACCTGTCCTGCTGCCGCTTCCTGGATGACAATCAGATCGTGACCAGCTCTGGAGACACCACCTGGTGAGTGCCTGACCCCGCCTGCCGTCACAGGGCTCGGCCACCCCGGCTCTGGGTAGGAGGACAGAAGGTCCTTTTTGTTTTGTTTTGTTAATACTCACTCGAGGATACTTTTTTTCATTGGTTTGTAGAGGGAGTGGGATGGAGGGAGGGAGGGGGCCAAGAAAGAGAGAGAGAGAGAGAGAGGGACATCGATGTGTCTCACATTAATTGGTTGCCTCCTGCAAGTGCTTGATGGGGGCTGGGGAATGAACCTCCAACTCAGGTATGTGCCCTTGGCTGGGAATTGAACCCATGACCCTTCTGTGTGTGGGCCGAGGCTCTAACTGCTGATCCACACTGGCCAGTGTGGAAATAGGTTCTTGCCATGAATGGGGGTGTCTGCCCTGTGAAATGGCCATGAGACTTCAGGGCAAGCGGCAGTGCGAGGGGACTGAGTTCACTGTGCCTTGCGGATTGTGAAGCTTCGTTATAGACGTTGCGCCTCCGGGTGTGTGGGAAGCCCTGCTTTCCTTCCCCACCAGCAGCCCTGGGAGCAGTGGGCGATCGGCCCCTCCCCACACCGCAGGGCCCAGCTCCCAGTGGCGTGCACCGTGTTTCTGAGTGTCCGAGTTCTCATCTTTCTACAGACAGAGAAGCCCCTTAAACAAACCCTGGAGTGTTTTCACTCGTGGCTCCAAACCACGTCACGTACACGCTCAGGTTATTTTACAAGAGGCCTGTGAGACCCCATCTGATTGGTCTTAAGTCAAAGCGCATGGGTTTCCTGTGGTCCTGGGGTGGGAAGGACACTGGTCACTGGCCGTCTGCGAACGTGGGGGCTCCGTGTGTCTCCTGCTGCAGTGCTCTGTGGGACATCGAGACGGGCCAGCAGACGACCACCTTCACTGGACACACCGGGGACGTCATGAGCCTTTCTCTCGCTCCCGACACCAGACTGTTTGTGTCCGGTGCATGTGATGCTTCAGCCAAACTCTGGGACGTGCGAGAAGGGATGTGCCGGCAAACGTTCACCGGCCACGAGTCCGACATCAACGCCATCTGTGTGAGTGGGCTGACCCGCGGGCAGGGTCCTTGGCCAGCGTCACATTAGATTAGTTACTGTACACACAGAATTCTCGTTCAGTTTTAAATGTTTTCAGGATTAGACGTTCTCTATTTTCTCTGCAAATACAACCTAATTTACTAAAAACTCCCTGTAGAACATCTAAAAGTGGTGTGGTCTGTCCTTGGGGGCCAGCTAATTCTGTGATCGGCTGGCCCCCAGCCCTGGGCTTGGGGGGGGCGGGGGGAGCACAGGGTGCAGTAACTCACCCAGCGTGCAGCCTCTGCGGGGCGGGGCTTCCCTGCTCCACATCCCCGCACCTGAGGGGCCTGGCCTTGAGGGGAGGCCCCTTCCCCACCTTCCTCCACGGGGCTCGCCTGACTGCTGGTGGCTGCGGAGAAGCATGGCCTTGGTGGTGCCTGCCCTGGGGGTCCTGTGGCTCCTGTGGCTCCTGTAGCCCCGTGGCCCCCTGTGCTCCCTGGGTCCCTGTGATGTGGGCCCAGGTGCTGTCAGCGTACAGCCGTCGTCCTGCTCTTGGGCAGTGGTATTTCCAATGTTTATTTTTTGTCCTTTGCACACTCTTGATTTGCTTTCTCTTTCCAGTTCTTTCCAAATGGTAATGCATTTGCCACTGGCTCGGATGACGCCACCTGCAGGCTGTTTGACCTCCGTGCGGATCAGGAGCTCATGACTTACTCCCATGACAACATCATCTGCGGGATCACCTCCGTCTCCTTCTCCAAGAGCGGGCGCCTCCTCCTCGCAGGGTACGACGACTTCAACTGCAACGTCTGGGACGCCCTCAAAGCCGACCGGGCAGGTAGGTGATGGCTGGGGCCTGTCTGTGTGTCCTGGACACTCGGACTATCTTTCAGGATGGACATGACTCCTCAGATAAGCCCAGGTGTTCAGGTTTCTGTCCGTCAGGCAGGCTGTCTGTGCTGGGCCTGCCTGAGTACACCTGCCAGGCCGCCGGCAGCCAGGAGCTGGCTCTCCAGGCCTGGCACCCCTGCACACACCAGACGCTTTTCCCACCCACGTGTGCGGTGCCCGGGCATCCCCAGTGGGCAGGAAAGCGGGTGCCCGTGAAGAGTCTGAAGTTCACACGTCAGAGGCTGGTGCGTGGTTGCCAGGTGGATCCACACACGCAGGTGTGCGGACGATGAGAACTCCCTGACTGCACGTGGCCGCGCATTTTAGAGTTGCCGGCCGTGTTGGTCCCGGGCGGGGCGGGTGGAAGAAGGGCACGTGAGCCCTGGTGTTGTGGGGCCTCACCTTGGCTTCCGCTTCTGGAGGGCCTCCTTCCTGCCCCAGTCGAACCCCTCAAGCTCCCCTGCACAGTGGCTGCTGCTGGGACACCGGGCCTCGAGTGACTGCTCTCGCTTGCTCCCAGGTGTCCTGGCTGGGCATGACAACCGCGTCAGCTGCCTGGGGGTGACTGACGACGGGATGGCTGTGGCCACAGGGTCCTGGGACAGCTTCCTCAAGATCTGGAACTAACACCGGCAGGTAACACGTGGGAGATGGTGGTTCGTGGTTTCTGGGTTCATGGTGGTGGAGATTGACGGTGAGGTGAGCCTTGACCTCAAGCTGAGTGCGGTGCCCTCGGCCTCACACCCAGACGGCACCGTCAGCCACCTGACGATGGGCCTGAGCTGAGAGGCCCTGTCTCTCTTTACTTTTTTTTTTAGATCTTTTTTTGTTGTTGTTAATCCTCAGCTGAGGATACTTTTCCATTAATTTTTTTCTTTTTTTTCGAGAGTGGAAGGGAGGTGGAGAGAGAGAGAGAGAAGCATTGATGTGAGAGAGACACATCGATTGGTTTCCTCCCACATGGGGCCCCGACCAGGACTGGGTTATGTGCCCCTGACCAGAATCGAACCCAGGACTCTTCAGTGCACAGGCTGACACTCTATCTACTGAGCCAAACTGGCCAGGGCTCTTTTTACATTTTTTTAAATTTATTTGTTATGGTGACAGTAGTTACTAAAATTGTGTAGGTGTCAGGTGCACAACTCGATGACGCATCACCTGATTGTGTTCACCACCCAAGGCCAAGTCTCCTTCCATCGCCACTGTCCCCTCTCCACCCTCTCCCTCCCCACCCCCTTTCCCTCTGGTGATCACCACACTCTTGTCTGTGTCTGTGAGGTTGTTTTCCTTCACTTAATCCCCTCACCTTTGTCACCAGCCCCCCAACCTGCTCCCCTCTGTCAGTCTGTTCTCTGTCTCTCTGAGTCTGTTTCTATTTTTCCTTTTTCCATTTTGTTTACTTTTCAATAAGTTTAAATCCTTGATGGGCACAGCATCGCACAGGTTCTGTGTCCAGCGGCCTTAGCGGGGAGGCTGCTCGGCACTCGGCCAGAACTGCCCACTGTTAGCAGAGCAGTTACCTTTCCCCAGGTGACTCTGGTTGTGCTCGGTTTGCCCACCAGGAGTCACTGTGTTGTTCTCTGCTTTGTACGCATAACCCAGAGAGAATTCGTTTCATCTCGAGCACAAACACCTTCACTTCTAAGAAGAGCCTGGCCACTGTGGCTCAGTGGTTGAGCATCAACCTATGAACCAAGAGGTCACAGTTCGATTCCCAATTAGGGCCCAGGTTGCAAGCTCAATCCCCAGTGTGGGGCGTGGAAGAGGCAACTGACCGATGATTCTCTCTCATCGTTGATGCTTCTATCTCTCTCTCCCTTCCTCTCTGAAACCAATAAAAATATATTTTAAAAAAAGGAGAGCTGTGTGCTCCCTCTGGTTCTGGAGACCCCGCTTATAGCCGTCAAAAATGGCCTTGGACACAGCTTTGTGGACATACTTGTCCTTATAGGAGTCCTGTTCCCAGCAGCCTCCGCAAGGTCCAGGGTGGCAGAAAACGCTGTTTTTGTTTTGTTTGTCAGTTCATTTTGTTCATTAGATCCCACATATAAGTGAAACCATGTGGTGCTTGTCTTTCTCTGACTCACTCACTCAGCAGAACGCTCTCAGGGCTCTTGCTCACGTCTCTAAACTCTGCTTTCAGCAGCAGGCGGACGCCCGTGACTGGAAGACCATTCCACCCTGAAGCGTTGCAGTGATAGCATTTCCAATCCTCCCCTACTAACGTGGGCGCCCTCCCTCCGAACTGCAAAAGGGCAAGATCTTTCCTTCACTTACTGCTGAAACCAAGAGCACAATCCCACGAGAGAAGAACCTGCTGTGAACTCGACGAGTCGTGCATCCTCCCGGGACCATTGTCTTTGTTTGCTTTTTGTCTTGAATGAAGTTAGAAGGAAATACTAGAGTCAGAATGTTCGCCACCAAGTAGCTCAGTGTATCATGAGGCAGACACACCTGGCCACTCGTGGGTTTGGGCTCAGGTCCGGGACCCCGTCTGACGCTCGTGCAGAGCAAGTCGAGGACTGGATCTTGTCATCGGCTCCAAATTCCAGGTGGTGTTTGTAACAGGATTTGAAAACATTCATGTTTCCTTTTTAAAATATCTTTGTGTTTAGTAGTTAAACAGAGAGAGAGGGTCTAGCGCGGCCTCTCTGAAGTTGTTAATGATGTAAATTTAGTCCCTGTTTTTAAAATTTTTTTTGTCTAGTGTCACATGGTTGTTGCACAGACATGGCACAGAAAGAGCAGACCCGAGCGTGGTGACCAGCAGAGTCCAATCAGGCACCTTTCTCCCGCCGTCCTCTGCCTCTCCCTTCAGTTCTAACCTCCCCTGGGGTTTCCTGGTGAAGTGGGGAGTTTATAATAATAGCCTAACACTACCCCGTGCCCCGCCCACTGTCACAACCTGTGTTCCAGAGAGGTGCCCGTCCTGTGCTTGGATAGTCAGTCAATTCTTTGTGTATGAAACAATGTAAAAATCAATGTTTTGAAAATAATGATCTCAAACTTTCTAAGTTAAATTTTAAACAATTGGATCGTTGGCCGCACTGGGGGCTAACTCTTAGACTCGCATGCTGTAGGAATGCTCACGTGTGCGTTAGCGCTCAGGCCTAGGTGTTCTTTTTCTTTACGAATAACCTCTTTCAAGTTGTAACCATTTACGGCTCTAGCCACTATCGTTGCTACTCTGCACGCACCGGAAGCAGTACAGTAAGCAGCTCGACACGCTTGAGTAGCAGGATAAGGCACTATTTTCTTTATTTCTTAAAAAAAACACCAAGTCCTGTTCCAAATGATTGCTGTTGGATTTGGGGGGTGGGGTGGGGGCAGGGAACGGAGACCCGGCCGGCTCTGTAAACTCCTACGGAACCAGCCTCTGCACCTGAGGCAGGTCGTTTTCTAACACAGACTTCCCGGTGCCCCCAGCCGGTCCCGCAGGTGTCCCCGCAGCGCCCCGCGCTGTGCTGGGGGGTGGGGTGCTGGGCCCGCCCGGGCGCTCCCGCAGCAGCAGAGCTTTTCCCGCTGGCTGTCTGCGGCTCCTGCACAGGTGGCCGCGTGGACACGTGGGCCTGGGTCTGCGGGGCGCGGGGCGGAGCCCTCCTAGCGACACCCTGTAGGCCGCCTGCACCTGCCCTCCCTTTTGTATTTAATTTTCAGTCCGTGTGCTGCAAGGAAGCTGGACGCGAGGTCGGCCCTGCATTCAACTGTCCTGTTATTTAAGCTGAAATAAAGCAGTTTGACATGAGGGACCTCGGTGTGGCGGCTGCTCCCTGAGGCGGGCCTGCGCCGTCCTCTGCCCGTGCTTTCCCGCCGCGAGAACCCCAGAAAGCAGGGGTGGGTCCCCAGGTGGCCCCTGAGCGCAAGCACCCAGCCCTGGCCACCTGTCCCCACCCAGACGTCCATCCCGAGCCTGTGGGTCAGGACGGGCCTCCTGCCGGGCGCAGGGACGGGCCCACCGGCCATTCTCAAGCTCACAGGGCGGCACTTGCTCCTGAGTGGAGACCCCCTCTGAGGAGGCACCAGCCGGAGGCCCTGGATTTGCCCGGGTGCAGGTGGCACCCACGCACCCTCCTCCCCCGCCGCGGGGCACGCCCGGCTGCTCCCAGGGTCGGTCTGTTCTGTGCAAATGTTAACGCCCGTGGCGCCACTTTCCCTGGGAGCCCAGCTCCCCACCCCAGCCCGGCCTCAGCCAAGCGCTCCCTGACCATCCGGGACAGGAGGGAACCTGGCCTCGGGGCTGGGCCCCAGCCGCCTCTGCAACCACAACCACAACCACCGCATCGGTGCTGGGCGCTCGGCGCCTGTCTGCTCACGGCAGTGGCATTCACTCCACCGGCGCGGGTTTTCCTCCATCTCCAGCGCCAAGTAGGGCTTGGCGCTCACCACGGAGCCAATGGCGTCGTGTCCCCAGCCCACTCCGCCCTCCACCAGTCCCGTGGCCCACAGCGGCTCGTGCCCTGGGGACAGACAGCCCCTCCTCCCCAAGCCCGCCCCCTGCTCAGCTCCCCACCTTGAAGTCTCCAGTCCCCCCACCATCACCAAGCCCCCTCCCTGTGTCCTGCTCAGTCCTTCCCAGAGCCCAGGCCAAACCCTGCCCCTCAGGTCCTCACTGGGTGACCTCGCCTTCGGATCCCCGTGGAAAACTGCCCACGACAAAAGCACCTGCTTCCTAGAGGCCTTGAAAGAGCTGAGTCCCGGGTGCGAGGAGTCTGAGGAGTCAGAGCAGGCGGGCTAGGCCTCGGGGGCTCCCACTCCCACCCCAGGCTGCCTCCCGGAGTTGGGGGGCAAAGGGGTGCCGTGCCTGCCGTGCTCTCTGCCCTGCTGCTCTTCCTCGCTCCGGGCAGGGCATCCCTCCCCCGGCACCTGGGGAGGGCACTGCCCCGTGGAAGCCTCCTTCCTGCCTGAGCGGTGAGCCTGGCTCTTGGCTGGTCTACAGGGAGAGGCGCTGGCCTCTCACCCCTGCCTGGAACCAGCCCTCACAGGAGACGAGTGGATTATCCTGGACAGGCCTCTGGGAGGGTGAGGCACGGCCAGGCAGGAGGGCCGGACCGGTCCTAGGTCTGCTGGCTGGAGGCCAGAGGGATAAACGAGGACCTCCCGGGAGCCAGAGACCCCTCCACAGGGAGCCTCGCCCTCCCTGGCTCCCAGGCTCCTGGCCACTTCCACTTTGGGTGCCCGGCAGCCTCTGCTCACCCCGGCATTCACCCCAGCCAGGTACAGCTGAGGCCAACGTCCCAGAGCTGGGAGCAGGACCCCAAGGAGGAGCACCCCTTCCTCTCCCTGCATCTGTGAGCCTGGTGCACCCCCTTCCTGTCCTCTAGAGCCAGGGAGTTCCCCTGACTGCACCCAAAATCCAGGGTGCCCCCTCCATGAGCCCAGCTTTGGGCAGCAGCTCCATCATCCTGCTCCACACCTCCCTCGTGCAAGCTCCTGCCTCTCTCACCCCCTGCCCCCCCATCCTCCCCGCCCCCCCCCCCCCCCCCGCCCCTGTCCCTTGGTGAAAGTGTGGTCCAGGCCCGCCACCAGTAAGCACTGCAGACGATGCTCACTTTTATCAGTATCCCCGGATCCACTCCACGGACTGGAAAAGTTGAGGGGGCGGGTCCCTCCCCCAAAAAGGGGCCCTACGCACACACGCACACACACACTCGTGCCAAACATTCTTCCTATTGGGAAACATCAAAAAAATAATGTGCACAACTTTTTGGGGGTTGATTGTCAAATACAGTAGGGTCCATTTTTTGAAAA